CTGCCTCACTAGGCAGAAAAGAACAGCTTCCTCAGTTGCCCATTTCTCATTTCCCACACACCACCTCATAAGCTAAAGTAAAGGCACTGAACTAAAAAAACTTTAATCTGAGTGACAACAGTCTGAGGTTTGTTGTGTGCAATGCTCAAAACCCGCATAGTTATGATGAGGCTGCATTACTTCACTGGACTGCAATTGCTGTGGTTGGGTTTCACCTCCTAGCTCTGAAACATGAAGTTCTATGTATTTTCCACTAAAAATCAAATTATGTGTGCAGGCTTCTTTCATAAAACAGAGGTACTCTCTAGTGTTGGTGTTGTGGGGAAGATGGAGATCCCTTCTGCTATATGATTAGAGTGAAAAATATCAGAATTAATGCCGACTAGGCAAACATAAACAACAAGCAACTTATCTGTACATATTCACTGATGTCAAGTACCTAGGAGTAGCTTCTGAAACTATATTCTGCATGCAGCAATGGCAGGTCAACAGCTAGGAGCCTAAGGCTTTAATTTCATATATGAGTAACTGTTGCATCAGTTTTGTTTTTGCAGCTCAAGCTCACACACTAATGCAAATGCTTTAGATTTCATTATGTTCGCAGTATTTTGTTCTAGATGTCACAAAGATGATTCCTTCTGTCTCTGCCTTTCAGCTTGTTCACATATTTGTCTTGCATGAAGTATACTTTTCTACAGCATGGGTACAAACCCAGAAATCCCCAAGAATGAAGCTAAAAGAGGAAAAAAAAAAAAAAAAAAGAAGACAAATGCACGCTGAACCCTGGGGTAAAGAATAGTGTGTTCACTTGAGAATCAGAGGTGTGAACAGAATCATGGACAAAGAGATATGTGGAATATCAAGAATGCCCTTATTGACTTCTGAAATAAATGAGCTGTGTATTTCATGTATTTCTATAAGTAATAAAATATGAGTACTGGGACAGATAAGACCTTGGGTAGGGAAACAGAACTGTAGGGACAAAGAAAGCTTCACTTCAAGAAAACCAGTGATTTCTTTTTCATTTTTAATTTAAACAGGTTTTTTATTTATTATTACATTTATGTGCAGAAAGTCCACCTAATTGATTACTTATCTTCCATATTTATTGTTACATTGCCTCCAGTTCTGACAGGTTTCTCTAAAAATTAAGCTTTGTCTCAATTACACCCTTTTACAATCTTGATTCGTTGATTTTGTTGAATTATTTGTCTCATGGAAAAAGCCTCTGTTTATACTTGCTAAGCTTACTGAAATGCCTTTTCTGTCTTGCCATTCCCCAGATTAATATATGATACAGAAACATGGGATCTATGTCAGCTAAGGCAGAACTGTACATGAATAGGTATTTGTGGAGACCCTGTAAGGCATTCCCTAGTGGGGAAAAACAAAAAGCTTATCTCAGAGCAAACCGTGTTCTGTCATGCCGAGGTACCCCTGTTCTGTTCCCTTGGTCAGCCCCGGGCCACCTTTCCTGTTCCTCAGTCTTTCGGTCATTCCCACCCTGTGTCCTCGTTGGCTCTCATGCTCTAACCCCACCCCTGTGCCACCCCCATGCCACCTGGTAATTGCTCTCTGATGCTTCCACCACCCCAAAAGGCCCATGTACTTAAACCTGGACCCTCACCACAAGGCCCACCTTTGCCTTTCCCTCTGACCCTGGACTATCCACGCACGTGGCTGAAATAAGCATTTCTGTGGAACCCTTGCAAAGGCCCTTCCTGCTTCTTTACCTACAACAATCTTAACAGTTATCCGGCCACAATAGATATTAGCAGGAGAAATACACAATCACCTCATCTTGAAGACTGAAGTGATAAAACATGAAGAATTTTAACAGTGATGACAAGACTTTCAGCTCTAAGTTAGTTGCTTTGGGATTTTTTTCATGCTATTTTAGAACACTTTGTCTAGAGCACTTTGATGGAGGCAGTCTTGAGCATGCCTGGGAAACCATCAGCAGCTTAGTGCCTGTTCCTTCACAAAAATGCCAAGTAATGCCACAATCAAATAAGAGATGGACAGCTTCAGGCAAGGCAAAGCACAAGGTGATGCAGGAGAAAGAGTGTTATTTTGCAGAGTTGAAGTAGCATATTCCTGGGGTGTATATTCATAGCCAGCCAAACCCTGTTCTGACACCCTTGCCCAGGATGGCCAACCAGCTGGGGCAACACCTGTAAACTTGGCAGCAATTACTGGTATCTCTGCAAGGAATACTACTTTGAGCCTCTCAGCGGGATACATGTAGATGGAAAAAAATCCCAGATGGCTATGCTGTCTGAATCTCAAGCCTGCTGTGTATCAACATGGCCACTGTCCTGCTCAAAGTCCTGGAAGAGCAGAAGTACAGAGCTGCAACATCAAGAAGCACTACAAAGGTCTGTATTTTGCCTAACTTTGCACGGTATCTGTTTTTTCTCCATGCAAAACCAGATCTGTACCACTTGATTGCATACTGGCAAGGTACTACAATTCCCATGGAAAAGACAGGGGAATCTCATTAAACTGTATTAAACAGTGAAAAGATTTGAACTCCAATTGTTTGTTCAGGTCTAGTTGGCATACTTAAAACAAAGGAATTCTAGCTGCAGCAAAACCAGAAAGAAACTGTTAAAGGGTTGTTTAGGGAACCTCAGAGCAATTATGTGAGAATAGAAAACTAAAAATTGGCTTGATTGGCTTTTATGAAAGTATCCAATATGACATATATTGTGCTGTCCAGATATTTACGGTGAGGTTAATACCAGCAAAGGATCAAAAAGAGCTACTAAATGGCAAAAGAATTAACAAGTTTAAACCTTCTATAAATGTCTTTTTCTGATACTCCAAAGGTTGTTGCTCTTCAAGAAGCTCATACCTTCAGGAGTAGCCTTCTTAAACAAGGACTGGGTACGAAAGAAGCAATGATTGAAAAGTAATCACAGATGGCAGCCATCTCTGACTCCATCTGGGAGTAGGTAGAGGTAACTAAGGACATAGACATCTTTGGTACAGCAGCTCACAGCCTGCAGATGCTGCAGGAGCTCACTTCCTCCATGGCTCTGGGCTGGGGCACTACTGCTCCTCCCTTACATCAACTATTTTGTTCTGTTTGTTTGTACTGTTTGTTTGATACCAGGTGAGTTTAAATTCTACAATCCCTACAGAAACCAAGGATGTTTATTCCTGTTGAAGGAGGGAGAGCCAGCACCTCACACTTGCCTCACTTCTGATCCATTGCAGCTATTCAGTGTCTCCTTCCTTCTCCTACTCATTTATATCTTCTTCTTGTCCTCTTTTTCTCCTGTCTAATCACAAATTTCTCTCCCCACACACATGATTCTTTCAGTGTGTGGGATCACTTCTCCATCATTTTCCTTTGCAGGATCTGCATTTAATATATAAGTGGAGAAAAGAGGGGAGGAGAGTAAATGTCATCCTCTTCCCTGAGCCCAAGGTTTTTGTCTACATTTTCTTCAGTTTAGAATAAACTTCACTGTTATATCAGGTGGGCCTGGAGGGATTCTGGACCAGTTTTATAACCACTGAGTTTTCTCCTGGAATAGATGAAGAAATGTAAGTGTTGCCTTATATTCTAGTAAATGTGGTACTCTCAAACTAAGACTAGATTTGATTTTGAAAGCAACTGTATGACATAATTCCCTGAGATGCCTTATGGTCCAATATTTCTAACTCTGTGCTGTTGCCAGTGAATGCTAATTTTCCAGCACCCACTTCCAACATTTCATTGTCTTGCCACCAGAAATGTATTGCACATCTCCTACACAGCTCTGTGGCAGTACACCCCTACTGGAATTTTTTTAACATACTGATCCCTGACTAATGCTTTTATTTCTTACTTAGGTTTATCAGTGGCTGTAATTTCCTCAACTGCTTTTTATGACTACACAGAAAGCACAGTTTATGCCACGAGACTGATTAGGTCAACTTGTCATTTCTGTCTTATTACACCAAGTTCACCTAGAGACATCACTCAGTTTTGTTTTTGCAATTTTAGCTGAAGATTATAAAGATAGTGTAAAATAATCACTGTGGTTTTTATATGTGAGCATGAGAGAGTATATATGAGAAGAAGGGAGGAGTGTGGGGAAAGTATTTTTAAGTCTTGAGGTTCCTAATGTTCAACATCTGTGCATTCCTTGCATATAATTGAGAATACTAATTAAAAGAAGACACAACCTCACATAAACCTGCTCTTCTTCTGGCAGATGCAGGAATTCTGAATTGGGCAACAGAATATTCAGGCTTGTAGCCTAATGCAAATTTTGCAGACATTTGACACTGCTCACCAAGTTGTTGGGAAGGAAACTGGAGGAGAAGGAGCAAGAGCTATGTCCTGTGAAGTACAATGCAAACTGCTGGAGTGAAGAAGACACATTTGCAAATCACAAACTTTTTTGGTTTATTTTCACACCTTGTTGAAGAAGTGTACCATTATACTGGTAAAATTGAAATATATTGAAGTTACTGTATTTAGTTTACCTCTTGTAGAATACTTAGATGTGTCTAAGATTTTGCTCTTCATTTGATGACACACTTTGAAATGTGATGGCCATACTCTGCAGCTCTAACTCAGAAGACTTGTATTTTAATTCTTTGGCCAGGAGTTACCCATAACGTTATTTTCTAGATACATATCATACAGTCACTTTAATATAACAGTGCCAGATAGACTCAGCCACAGTTAACGTCTGATTTCTGATGTTTTCTGAGTGCGCAACATTAATATGTGCCATTAATATGTATTATAAATAGCACTCAATATAATTAGAATTCCCATAAAAAGGACACCTATATAGAATTGGATAAAGGGGAAGTACAGTAATTTCACGAGTATAAGGTGCACTAGAGTATAAGGCGCACTAGAGTATAAGGCGCAGTCCCAGGTGTCGGCAAATTTCCGAACTTTGTCCATATGCAAGGCACACGGGACTATAAGGCGCACTTTTATTTTGCAGTGAGGATCCGCACGCAACAAAGTAACGAATTAGTAATGGAATAGCACGATTGTGAGGTTTACAGGCTCAGCTTGGGGCTGGGCAGTATCAGCCCCGCTTGGGGCTGCTGCAGGCTCAGCCCCGCTTGGGCTGCTGCTGGGGCCAGGCAACACTGCTGCTCGGCCGAGCTCGGGGCCACTGCTGCTCGGCAGGGATGGATGCCTCTGCCGCTCGGCGGGTATGGGCACCGCTGCCAGCTCTGCCGCTCAGGGTTGGGTGGACTCGACTTGGTGCTGCTGTGGGCTCCCACTTCCAGGTTGGCAAATTTCCGAACTTTGTCCATATATAAAGTGCTCCAGGGGATAAGGCGCACTTCCAGGTTTGGACCAACATTTTAGTCAATAGGGTGCACTTTATGTGCGTGAAATCACTGTAATTAAAACCATAGCATTCTACCTACCTAAAGGTGTAGAGTTAAGGCTTCCATGGTAACCTTAACTCTGCATTTCCTGCCTTTAGTGATTACAAAAGCTCAGCTTCACTCTTCTTTTAATACAGTATTTCACACTGAATACTTTCACCAATAGAAGGGTTAGTCTGAAACCTGAGATTTCTAGGACTCCTAATACTAACCAAGTTTATGCAGCAACAATTATAAATTATTCAGAGGAAACTGTACCAATACATAGTGCACAACAAAGACTGAACTTGCCTTTAGCTGGTGTAATGTATTATGGATATGTGGTTGCCTCTTCATAGATAAGGTGCTGGCAGCTTCCCTTTGGATCTCTGTTTCATTGCCTTCCTGACACTGGCTGAAAAAATATCTGCCCTGAAAAACACCATATTAAAACTGAAGATGAGAAGGAACATGCCTGCAAATATAAAATTGGGAAAATTATTTTATTTGAATTAAAACTCATGAAAACACATTAGAAAGTACACCTGGAAAATTGATGGCAGTGGTAGTGAATATAAGCAATGCTGTGGATCACTGTTTAAAATTGTTCCAATTTTGAACTACTAAATTTTGCTTAGACTTCTGTAACTTGTTTCAGGGAGTGTGTATTGACACTGACATATACGTCCATCTTTTGGCTACCTGAATTTTAACATGTGTCAACTTTTATGGCTTATTAGTAACATAAATGCTATTGATTTGAGAGACAGACACTTGGTTTTCAGAACCAAAGGACATAGAACCAGCTCTTTATAGGATGCTTTACTTAAATGATTATTAAAAACTGTATCTTGAATTATTCCCATTGTAAGGCTTCACAGAAAAGTTTTGAAGAAAACTTCTATACATATATTGCAAAGTTTAAGGTAATCCTTGTCCTTGTTAACAAAAATGTTCTGATTTCTTGAGCAAAACTCCTAAACACTAGTGCATTCTATTTCAAAGCTTTCATGGTATAGGAAAATGTTATTCATTCATCTATGTCTTCAAGTATCTGAGTGAAGGATGTCAAGACAATGGATTCAGGCTTTTCTCAGTGGTGTTGAGCAATAGGACAAAAGGCAGTGGGCAGACACTGATGACCATGAAGTTCCACCTGACCATGAGGAAGAACTTTGTTACTGTGCAGGTGACCACACACAGGAACAGATTGTCCAGAGAGGGTGTGAAGTCTCCCTCACTGCAGATACTCAAGCACCTTCTGGACACAATCCTGTGCCATGTGCTCTGGGACAACCCTGCTGGAGCAGGGAGGTTGGACCATACGACCCACTGTGGTCCCTCCCAGCCTGACCCATTCTGTGATTCTGCCAAATGTATGTGAAATATGTCAAATTTTAGAATAGCTTTTGTGTAAGTAGACATGTAATACTCAGAATATTGATATAATTAACAATCTGCTCCAAGGAGGTAAGATTAAAACTAAGGAATTTCTTCATTGATAGGTACATATCTTTGACAACAAAGTCATAATATAAGGGTTTTTTTCCCATAAAAGACTGTCATCATTTACATCCAAATGATGAAATTTAGCTCTTAAAATGAGAACAAGCTCAAGAATCAAATAAAACCAGGCATTCAGATGCATTTTCCACAAATGAGTAAGTGATCAAAACCAGAGATAAAAAACTAAAAGACACAGTGAAGAAATAAAACACAAGAGAATTTATGTTGGCCATCAACAGATAGCTCTTTCACCCTATTCAGCCTCTAGCACTACACACAGAAGAAGTTAGGAAAACAGAACACAGGTAGGTCATTTTATTTTATTTACTAATCCACAGCAGGACCTTCCCAATTTGTTCAAGTCCCAGTATGCTTATTGAGAACTCATAAATTCTAAGTGCATGCTTTAAATGTATCAATTTAAAATCAAATATAAAATAGAGATAATACTGACTTTATTAAATGTTTAACTCAGGAGAGAAAAAATATTGTCTTTTTCTGTCTGGCAGTTCGGGGATGTTACTATATGCATGAAGATAAGTTAATGGATACTGTCTCCGGATCCATTAATCCTAAATCAATTTCTCTCAACTACTTATGAAAACTGGGCCACAGTGGATTATCTACTAGACCTTTGTAACAACAATAAAATTCCTATTAAAATCTTAACGCTCAAAAACTGACATATCAGGCATGTCCTTCAAAAATTTAACTGACTAGTCTAGGGCATGAAGAACATGAATATCTTCCTAAGGTTAAAATGGGCTCATACTAAAGTGGAAAAAAAAAACCCAGTTTTGTAGAGTTGTGCAGAATAAATTTGCTTTATCCACGGCTTTCAATCAAAATTCATGACCCTGTGTATTAAGATGTATCTTACTTCACACAAGAGAGAAATTATTAAAATGTAGGAAAACTTAAATATTCCTTTAAAACATTTGCATTTACAGTGTAATTACAAAATTTACAGAAACAAAGCACTGAAGTAGTAAAATTACTAGCAATTACTCATTAATCTAATCAGAGCAGAGCATTAACCATGTATCATAACACCTGAATTCTCATCAAATACATATAGTATATTTTAAACAATAATCAAAATAGTGTGCTACAAAATACTCATCTGAAAAAGATACAGGGATAATTCATATGTAGACAGGCCAAATAGAGATGTCTACATAATTTGATATGTAATACCTGTAAATACATATTTTGATATAAATCATTATTATAGATTTATTAAATCTGTATTTTATCTGGATTTTACAATTTAAAGTTGGAATTCACAGATTGAACTTACATATTTGCAGAGTTAATTTACATTTTCACTTGGTGCCTATGATATTAATTACATTTAATAAATTCTGTACTGTATATTATGTGATATCTATATGCATATAAAATTAGCACACTGTATGTAATAAATACTTTAAAAGCACTGAAGAAATCATATAAGGCCATACATGAGTGTCCTGGTTTGGAGGACAGGTGTCTGCTAAGAAAGGCAGGAATCTCTGTTTGAAATGGAGAATGTAAACCCCCTCCCTCCAAATTATTATAATTTTGAAATTAAGCGGCTCTCAGGCAAATAGATATATAATCCACAATTATTAGGAATAGGGAATTAGGAATAGGGAATTACGAATAACAGTTCTTGACTAGGGAAATTAAAATAGAAATACAGTACTACAAAGAAACAAACCCCAAACACTGTCAAAGTCAGAGTACAACCTGACACCCCATCAGGCAGGGTGTTGGTAGCAGTCCCATTAAATGGTGGCTGCAGTCTTCTTGCAGTGACAGATGTGGTTCAGTTGAAGCAGTGCTCCTGCGGAAGGTGCAGTTTCTCTCCAGAGGTCCAGTGATGATGTAGAGAAGTCCGGTTTTCCTTCTGAAAGTCCAGTGGAAAAAAGGGCTCCCTTAGTGTCCCAAAATCTCAGTTTTTAGCCTGGTAAGAAAGGCTTGGCTTTCTCCCCTGGCTGGAGCATCTCTCAATGGGATGAAGTAATTTTATCAGTCACACGGTGGGACTCAATGGGCCATTAGCAGAAAATGACTGGCTGAAGGAAGGATGGGTTGTGAAAAGATAAAGAACAATGGCCCACCTGGTTTCAATGTATGGCCCATTAGCAGAATATCTGCCGTGGAGATAAGGATCACTGCCCCCACCCTCATCAGATGGTGATAGAATAGATACTTTTGATCACATCCTGTATTGTAACCCAGGAAAATGAGCATCACTGTATCTGGCTTAAGGTTGAATATCAGGACAAGAATGCTGCAATGTGGGGAAAAATACTGCACTTTTGTAATTAATTATTAATTTTTCATTCAGTATTCACTTGCTAAAATTTTTAATCTTGCTTGTAATGCCTTTTAAATACTGTTTTCTAATGGGCATCTAATTTATGTTCTTTATATTGTTATTAAAATCTTGTATTGTTTTCCTGAGGAAAGCTGCTTTTTCCTTGGTACATAAAACTTGCTTTAGACCAAAGTCTCTGGTTTGACTTCAATCCCAGAATATCCTGATTTCTAAATGAAATTCAAAGTATTTCATATAGGTATCATGACTAAAAGCTTCAATCTTCACAGTAGATCCTGAATTGTATTAATCTCTTTTATAGCATCATTTATTTCATTCTAGCTACATTTTTTATTTTAATATATGTGCTATATTTGGTCTCGGTACAAAATATGAACAAGAGATACTTAGCATAAAGCTCTGTATTGACACAAGTTTCATTATTTCAGACCTGGTCCTGGAGACTAACAATACTGTAAATTATGATCTATTACAGGTCATTTTGAAATGAAAAACAAAATGTTTCAAGTAAGTTAAATAATTTCCCAGTAGGAACAGGGTATACAAATACATGTTTTTCATCACTCTTAATGAGCGCAATAGTATATATAAGTGCTCTTTAAGCAACTTATAGGTGCTTAAATATGGGTAGATTTTAAGCAACTTAACCCTTAAGGCTGTTTGCTATGGTAAAGCACATTCTATCCATATACTTGTCTGAGCTCCCACAGGCCTTCTAAGGTAACAAGAGGCAAAGAAAAGTCTGCAAAATTTTCTAAGATTAAACAAAAGTTTCCCTAGAGGAATTGGCTTCTATTCTTCATTTTTTTCCTTCTTGAACTACTGACAATTGAGATGCTTTGATCAAACTTTCCATCACTATTTACCTTCAGAGACAAATTAGTTGGAGCACTTCAGCTCCAAAAACTTCAGAAAATTGCAA